CCACCAGGTACCTTTGCTAAGTACTGGAAAGTGCTGGAGTCCTGGCGCTGGGGGGCTGGCCTGTCGGCTGCCCTCCCTTCCTGCCAGCTGACTGACGCTGACTTCTCCAGCTGGCCATGGGCCCAGCCCTAGGGAAGAGAGTGTGATTGATTTAAGTCCACTACAGCAAGCCCATCTTCCTGGGCCTGGGATTGGTCCGGGGGTGGTCCTGTGACCCATTTCTGGCCAGGGACATACTCTGCTGGGGACTTCTGGGAACGTGTTTCCTTTCAGATAAGAAAAAGGCAAATGAGGAGAGGCTGGTTGCCTCCCTCCTTTCCTCTCTTCCTGCTTTGGACACGGTTGGGTGAAGAGGTGATGAGCGAGTAGTGGCAGCCATCTGTGACATGAGGACCAGGCACTGATGAGTCTGGGTCCCGGAAGGCAACCTTGAGGCGCTACACGCTCTCCATCTCCAAGCTCCAGATGGCTCTTAAACAAACAGTAGCCGTCGCAATAATCCCCAGCCTGGCAGCCTAGGCTCAGGTAGCATCCTAGCGTGGGTTCTGTGCCTCAGAGGCAGACCCCAGGGCCAAACACGTCTTCCATGCACCAAGTCTCCCGCTCCGCTGCACTGGGCAAGTGAGTCAACTTTTTCCATCCTTAGATTTTGTTGTTTGGTTTAAGGCAGGGCCCAGTCTGGCCTCGACCTGTTCCACAGCTGAAGATGGTCCTCAACTGCTGGTCTTCCTACCTCAACCTCCCAAGTGCTGGGATCACAGACACATGCTACCATGCTGCATTTTAGGAGATGCTGGGGGCTGGGAGCTTTGAGAACAACAGCAAGGACTCTACCAACTGCATCCCTAGCCCGAGACCTTAGTTTTCTGTCTAAAAAATGGAAGAAAAAACATTTAAAGTACTCAGCACATAGTAAACGCTAACAGCTTTCTCCACCACAATCATGGCATCTTCAATATTTATCATAATATTCCAAAAATAGGGGGGAGAAACACGGACAGAGGCAGGAAATTAAGTACACCTAATTAAAGGCCACCAGCTGGGCACAAGATGAACAGAAAAGGATCTGAGTGTCAGAGCTGACCACAAGTTGCTGAGTCAGGGCCTTCAGAAGCCTGGGGGGGCTGGCCACCAAGCAAGGGAGGGAGCGAGATAGGAGACTCCTGATAGTGACCCCAGCTCTGTGACTGTGACTCACCCATCCCCAGGAGCACCAGATACATTCGGTCATCTTCTCCATCAAAGGATGTGTGGAGCTGTGCTGGGTCCCAAAGCTTGGACAGTGGCCTTGGGCTATTGACATGGAGACAGAGAGAGCAGGGGAAAGGTCAGTGCCGCCTCCTGAGGGAAGGGCCTGAGTTATGGAGCAGCTGAAGGCTGAACCCCGGAAGCCTGAAGGAAGATACAAAACCAAGAGGCAGGAGCCCCCGGTGAGCTTGGGAAGCCAAGGCTCCACAGTGCAACCCCAGGGACAGGTTCCTGTGCGCCAGACCTCAGTCTGTCCCTGTGTGTGCTGTGGTCCAGGCAGGCTATGGTCCTGAGGAGCGAGGACAGGCCACGGTGCATTTGGCTGCAAGTAACCAGAGAGCCGGTGGGGCTGTGTTCAGCCCAGGGGTTCACCAGGGGCCAGCAGGGGGCAGATGCCAGCCTTGACTGGGGTGTTCAGGGCTCTCTGGGGTCACTGTCGCCCCAGAGGTGGGGGCTTCCGATGTATCCCAGCCTCTAGAGTGGGGTTGTGGGCTGCACCCCACACCTGGTGGGAAATCTGGAGTCATTTCAAAGCACTGAGCCCCAGGCTGACCCAGCTCTTTTGTCTTACCTCACAGACTGCCACGTGGTTGGGGACCTCAGTGGCTTGTACACACAGCCCAGGTGGTGGAGTTCTGTTGACATCAGTGGCTGTCACGAATCCTAGCCATTCCTGCCTGCCCATGCTCGCTTTCATTCTGCTGTGGGGAACCTTCTAGAAGGCGTCTTCAGCCTGAGTCTCTGGGCTGCACTGCCTGGAGGGGCTGGTGTGGAAGGAAGTGGTTGGGAAGGTTGAGCCAGTGCCCACCTTGTGAGCATCATAGTCAGATGCTAACACATGCACACATATGCACATATACATGCACAGACATATACACACATGCATATATGCACACACACGTGTACACATAGATATATATACACATAGACAATGCATACACATATATACACATACACATGCACATATACATGCACATATATGCACATAGACATATATACATGTACATACACATGCACAGATACAGTCACATGCATACACACATACACATAGACATACACACAGGTACACATGTGCATACACATGCATAGACATATACATACATGCATACACATACATATACACACAATTTGTGTGTGCACCCACATACATATATACATATACACAAATATCAATTTAAGGATCACAGCAAAGTGGACAGGAAGAGACCCCTGACCCCAGCAGCCTCCACTAGCATGAGTTTCTCCTGAGCAGTCAGAACGCCGCTTGACCACACCATCCTGTCCCCCGGAGTTGGTGGCCGGCAACAGGCCCACCGTAGGTGCTGTCCTATGGCTGAGGACAAACGTCTGCTGGCTCAGACTCACCCCCTCCAGGACTGTCAGAGTACAGAATGGGGTCTGCCTCTGGACGGGAGAGTCAATCCAGTTGGGCCTGCCAAGGGACCACCTCAAACCTGCTGCAGGGATGAGGGATAAACAGCCCTTTAGTGAGAAGAACAGTCTTCCTTCCCAGAATCCCCGTCCCCGGCACGGCCCTGCGGCTGTAAGGTTCTGCTGGGCCGGTCAGAACCAGGCCCAGCTTTTCTTTGCTCTCTCCTGCCTTTCTCTGGTGCTGGCCAGAGCCCAGCCTGCCCTCTCTGGTGCCCTGGGCTTCTCCACTCTTCTGAAGCTCACTCCTCACAATGCGGGGTTTGTCCATCCATGGCTGGCTGACCTCTGTGCCTAACGCGGACAGCACGGCTCCCACCTAGGAATATATGACAGATATCTGTCAAAACCAATGCCCCGTGGTCTGCGAATTTCAGTCTTTGAATTTTTGAGACAAGAACCTGAAGCCACAGATTCAGGGTGAATATTGCATTTTTCAAGATCCTAGCCTCCCAAGCAGAGAGCGCGCCATTTCTTGCCATTTCCATGGCCTTGGGTGATCCTGCAATGTCCACTCAGAAGGACTCTCAAGTCCAGGCCCCATCTGGATTTTGTTTGTTTTTGTCTACAGTGCTGAGGATGGATCCAGGGCCATCCTCACCGTAGGCAAGCGCCCTCCCACTCAGCTACACCCCAGCCCTCAGTTTGAGTTAGAGCCTCATCCTGCAGCACGTGCTGGCCTTGAACTGAAAATCTTTCTACCTCTGCCTCCCAGATGCCAGAATTAGGGGTGTGTGTGCTATCCCCATCCACGTTCAGCATCCAGGTGTGCCCAGAAGCAGCCTGCCATGTTGGTAGGCACAGGGCAGCACACAAGCATGGCTTTAGAGCTGGAGGTTGGCTGGGGGGTGGCTCAGTGAGCAGAGAGACTCCCACACAGCCGTGCAGACTCGAATTCTATCTCCAGCACCCAGAAAAAGCTGGACATTTATAGACGTGAAAAACCAACAATGGACCAGCAAGGCAACTCAGAAAGCAGAGGTACTTATGCCAAACCAGATGACCTGTTCAATCCTCGGGACCCATGTGGTAGAGGGGGAGGAAGGCTTCCTGCAAATTGCCTTCCGACCTCCACAAACAAGCCATGGTTCACTCACATGCACATGCACGTGAACACACACACACACACACACACACACACACACACACACACACACACACCAATTAAAATAAGTCAAGTAGATGGCTCCTAAGAAACAACACTGAGCCCGACCTCTGACCTCCACATGTCTCACAAACTAGAGGTCAAGAATCTCCAGCAATGGGGCTGGAGAAATGGTTAACTTAGAGCACTGGCTGCTCTTCCAGAAGACCCAAGTTCAGTTCCCCACACCCACATGGAAGCTTACAGCTGGCTGTAACTCCAGTTCCAGGTTCTGGCCTCTGTGGGCACCTGGCACGCACATGGCACACAGACACACATGCGGGCAGAACACCCGTACACATAAAACGAAAATGTGAAGTTCCCAGAGGCACTCGGTCTGGTAGAACAGAGAGGGGCAGAGTGAGGCCTGGGGGCGTCTGCCCGCACAAAGGGGAAATCGAGTTCTCTGTCTCCCCAGTCCCCAGTGTAAGAACCGCCCACACGAGGCTGAAGCTGACCCAGGAGCCAGGCTGCCTGATCCTGCCCTGTGACTTGGATGAGTAACTTAACCTCTGTATACTGTAGCTCCGGGGCTGGCCTTTTCAGTCACAGTCTGTGTGATTGGAGCCCTCTTGGGTGCCTGGCTGTCCCTGGTGGCTCAGAGTCCTTATCTGGAAGACTGACCAGGTAATGGCGACGCGTCCCAAAGAAAAGTGGGACCATCATTTCTTCCCTGGGTCGTGTGCTTACCAGCATCTAGCATAGTCGCCATCCCACTTCAAAAAAGAGAAATGGGCCTTTAGTCACTCGCCTGGGCTCACCCAGCGAGCAATGGCTGGGAACACACCAACAACAATGAAAGTGAAACCCTGGCAGGTCATGGAGGTGCGTGTCTGTGATCCCAGCACTCGAGAGGCTGAGGTGGAAGGGTCTGAGGTTCTGTGCCAGCCTGGGCTACCTAGCAACGTGAGGGAGGGAGGGGGGAACAGATGAAATAGGAAGGAAGAAAGAGGGGGAAAGACAGGAAGGGAGGGAGGGAGGGAGGGAGGGAGGGAGGGAGGGAGGCACACTGTAGCCCAGCTCCAGCACCCCTCTCTGGCCCCACCTCAGGCATCCCGAAACTCCACTCAACAGCAGGGCCAGGCCGATTCCCACAAGCCTGCAAGAGTGAGCAGGAGTCAAGTTCTTGGGGTTCACGGCCCACTTCCCAACTGATTGCCCTGTGACCAGAGACTCACCCCAGCTCCCCTTTCATCCTCGATTTCAAAGTTCTCTACACTCAGGCTAATTAGAGAAGACACCTCAGGCTGCAGCGAAGCAGGCATCCTCTTAATTAAGTGCGTCCAGCCGCAGGGCCAGGAAGGCTGCAGACACAGCTAATTCCAGGCTGCCCACTCCCAGGATGTGGTCCAAGCTGCCTTGACCTGGCTGCCATTTCCTTAGGGTCCAAGGCGCCGTCCCTGCACGCTGCTGCTCTGTCCCTGTGTGGTATTTGACTTGTGTGCTTTAAAGATTGTGTTTGGTTGACACTGACCTAGAATAACAGTGACTGGTGACCACACTCAGGAGGCTGTACTCGACGGGTCCTAGCCTCCGATAGCCCAGAGAGGGGAGCAGCTTCCTCAAGACCACGGTTGCTTATTTGTTCACAGCTGTGTGGTTAGAGTCTGTCTCCCCCACGACATTCATTTTGGTTGCTTCTTGGTACTCAGGGTATGGACAATGCCAAGCACCTAGTAAGTGCTTTGGAATCCTCACGGACCCAACGAATTTGGTTCCTGGGCTGGTATGAGAGGCTTCTGTGCAGACACGGGCAGCTCAGTCTGCTCTGCTCGCTCCTTTACTCTGTAGTTAGCTCAGGGCTCAATAGACCATAGCCATGGCTTGGGGGCCAGCTGTGGCCCTTCATCTGGGTTTGCAAATAAAATTTTATTGAGACACAGTCATGTCCATTTTGTGTAGGAGCTGTGTATTCCACAGCAGAACTTTATAGCTGCAGGAGACCTGGGGAGCCAAACCAGTTAGAGCCTGCCTCGTACCGAGAAGGTGTCCTCACCCCATCACCTGGCTTTCCTTAGTTGAGATGCCTTCTTCTCCTTCCGGGGTGCACTGGGAGCCCCACCGGTGTTCCCACAGCCCCACGTTTCCTTCTATGGTGCTTCCCAGCCTTCTCCCACCCCTTAGCCTTGAGAATTTCCCCAAGATCAGATTCATTTGCAACATAAACCTTCGGCGTGGACGCTTATCTGTGTTGTGAAGACACTGAAGCCACAGGCAGCCACGCCTGTGGACCAAGCAGGACGCACAAGCCATCGTGTCCATGATGGCGGGCCCTTCTGAGAAGGCCTGTTCAAGTAACACCTACTACATTCAGCTCCTGTTGTGCACCTACTGTGTGCAGGCTCCGTTATAAGTGTGGATGGCACACAGTGAGAACAGCAGGCATGGCCCCGCATCTGCATGCAGTTCCTGGTCCCTCAGACTCCAACAGGAGACGGTGTCCGGGCTAGTTCACCTTCAGTAACAACTGTTTCCCAGAGG